GACTTTTGTGGATCGTCTGAGCAATATGGCTTATCTCGCTGCAGTCAAGGATACTTTTCACGGTAATGGTTTAGCCCAAATTGCCTCACCAAAATATTTACTAAGCATGGTTTCCGGCTTCCATTGTATCGGATAGACAACCGTGTTTGACAGCGGAGTTTCGGTGAACATTGTGTATCGATCTAGGCGCCGAAATGAATATGTCAATTGTTTGCCATCCGCAAACAGATGATCACACTTGACGCGTGAATTTTGGGGCGGAGGTACCTCGAAGCTGGAGCGAAATTCTCCCACCCTTTTTTTGGTACAATGCTCTAAAACCTCTAAGCGAACCTTTCTCGTTGAGTAGGACAGACAAAAAGGATCCATTCTTCGTTGGCGCTCGATGACTTTCTAGTTTATCTCGCTGAATCTGTTCTTGAGTCTTGGCATAAGGCAATAGCCGATTTGAGCCGGTTCTCAGATTTGATTCCTCAGCTTCACGTTGCAATTCCTGACTCACAGCATCCCCCTCATGACTGTGTCGCTGCTTAGAAGGAGAGAGGGTACATCAGCTCTGGGCGATAATGGCAACGTTGCCCGTTCGCAAAAGAGTAATTACCATCCAGCAGACTCGTAAGAGCGCGCTTATGGTATACATTTGGTAAGCCCGCGTAGAACACAAGATGTGTTCGCAGACTATTTAGAGTACAACTCAATTCTTTACGCTACGAGTAAATGTAGCGCGGTCAAAACTTAGTCTAATTGACCGCAGACACCGCATATGTGAGCAGGTCAATTGCATTTCATAAAATCTGTTGCATTCAGGTGTGTTCACTTGCTGCAGACATAGTCGTGATTCTTTTGTTTGTCTTTGCTATCCACTGTATTGTCGTGTACCCTGTGCATGACCTAATTTCATTGAGTAAATAGCAACAAGTTTTGCTTCGAAGCGTAACAGGGCTGATATCGACAGATCAAACACAGTTACGAAGCCCGTTCGTGGCGAAGTCAAGGCACCCGAGCAATTTTTTTTGAAGTATCGCTAAGCCGGCTAATGAATACTACAAGTGGGTGACGACTAACCTTGCGATGAATGTCACATTGAGAGGACCGGCCTGTGACAACTAGGAAAAAGTGGTGATGGATCGTTTCCTCTACATGCGCATTGAAATCCACTTTGTATGTCAAGCATGCAGCAATTCTCTGACGGAAGCCCGATTTACTAAAGCTAATTTGTAAAGCCTTCAGACGGACAAGACGTCGCGTTTTCTGTACATAGTATGCGAAATGTGTTTGATGCTCATCTGCACTTCTTAGCACCCAAGATGTATTCCTCATTGAGAGTAAGAATTTTCCTAACCGCTTGTGCTCAAAGCGCGGGAGGTTATTCTGGGGATTTTCTTCCTGCGAATTTAAAAAATATCTTGGAACAGTGTTCTTTCCCCTTGTTCTGCTCTTGCAGTGAGTAGTAGACCCATACGCAAAGGCGTGTAGGAGCTTAACACTATCGCGGTGAGCGACTTCAAACGGTTTAGAGTTTTAATCACGGCGTGATGGTTTGAGCAAGTGTCAACGTTCTCGGGCGTTGATAGTAGAGAAAGCTAAATCCCTTACGCCAGGCCCAACTTGCTGATGGTGAGCTTATTATTGTCGTTGATATCGCGAAAAGTGTTTCAATACTTTTCGTCGATAAAATCAGGCGAAATTCCGAGACTCGTGAAGCGGAGTTGCTGCGCACAAAGAGCGCTGCCATCTATGGAGGAGCCGTCATACCGTTTATCGACAGGTGAGGGTGGATGTGTTGGACCGGGACCCAGAATGTAAGTATGACCATTCTGACTGGAAGCATCTTCAGCAGCGTCATCGGAAATGTGATTGATCATGTCAATCGCATTTTCTGTGGGGGATCGCTGATCTGTTTGATTTGGTACACATAACAAAACCCCCGAGGCAAGTATTATCAGAAGAGTAGGCATGGTAAAGTGCAGAGATTGGCATAGAACTTCAAGTGCATTGGTTGCTCGTGGAGCGAGCAACAGTGGAAGGGGGGCAAAGGGGCTATTACTGTAATTTGGTACTTCACCCTGACACATTAGGTAGGATTGTACAACGTTCAAATCGCGCTCTGGTGTAATTTACACTAGTACATGGGTACTTATGTGAATATCCATAAGTAACGAATCGTCAATATCTACACCTGCAGGACAAAATATATGTTTTTTTTTTTCATATAAAAATTATAGTGATACGTAAATAATTAGTATTAGTCTAAGTAGCATTAGTTCAATATATATGTACTTGTGAAAAATCGACGCTCAAATTATAGGAGATCTCGATTCCACTTTTGATAGGCGTGCACGACTCAACCTCTGTGCATTGAGAACTTGGACTATTAGAATTAAAATCCCCCTCTGCAATTTGAACGGCAAATCTGCTGCACAAGCAATTGTTAAGCAATGAATATGCTTTACTCAATTGACATCCGAGGCACAACGAGTTAGCATGTTAGAAAAATACTCACCCTCAGCCGGTTTAATCGAGACCAATCTTCTAAACTGAATAAACTTTTTTCGAGTAAAGGGCCCAACATATAAGAGCAAATTTTGTATAAGAACCAAGACACCGATAGCAAAAATACATCATACAAACTCAAGTATAACAAAACGGCTGGACGACATACAAGCGTATGCCCCTAAGAGCAATGGATGGAAGTCGCGAATCGCAGTTATTTAAGCATGTTTCAAAAGTGCAAGTCACTTCTGTTCGCATAAGGGCGCACACAAGCTTGACCTAAAGCCAGAAGTACGAGCTGGCTGCCTACGCAAAGCCCTCATCTCTGTCACCAGGATCTCGCTTCGTGGGTGCTGTCCGAGTTTGGAAAGAAAAATTGGCGGATCGACGGTTCTCCGCGTCGTCTCAGCGCTACCTTCAATCCCACTATCCATAAGCGCGAGACGCCAGCGCCAGTCCCGATTTTCAACCATGGAGCTACTCTTGCCGGAGTTTGTGCAGCTGCACCAAGCCCCCACAGCTTTAAGCGATTTACAAGGCCAATGATCTTCTTCATCCACAAGACGTCACGTAGTGGTAGGTGCAGAAGTTCAAGCGGCGCTTCAGCATACGTTTGCGCACTACATGACGTAAATCCAGGTCGGTAAATATCGCCACGGTCGCAACAATGGTCGCGAACTACAGGCTCTCGTTGAGAAGTATTAACGCAGGATGTCTTCAATGAGATCAGCCTCCTCTTTTGCATTCGACCCAACCAGTCTCTCGCAACTAGCAAGATCCGTGAGATCAAGAAATATAAGGCGCGTTTTGCTGTTGGACTGTGCTGTAATGTGCCAGGTACCTAGTTGATAGACCCTGTTGTCATCCACAGCAGCATGAAGCCTCGCTGTTCTCGGAAGGTGAACAGAAAGCGCTTTGGCATCCAGTTCTACGCGAACAAGAAGTTATGGATGACACGCGTTGACTTCTTGGAATGGCGCCACGGCTTCAATCTCAAGATGTACAACCAAAAGTGCTGCTGTTGTTGAACAACGTGTCACCCCACGATAGCGTCGAGATCGCCAACGTCCGCGTGTTCTTCCTCCCGCCCAGCACGACATCTTTCTCGCAAACATTCGACGCTGGTATCATCAAGATTTTCAAGTGCAAGTACAATGCGCTTCTTGTACGCTGGATGATTGACCAGCTCGGGGCCGTCGGCAACGTCTCGCGCATGGACGTTCTGACAGATACCAAATTTTCCGTTGATGCGTGGGCTGGTTTCAGTGAGAACACCATACAGAATTGCTGATGCCATACGACCATCGTCTTGGCACACATGTCTGCTCTGCTATTTTCATCCAGCGACTGTGTCGATGCCGCTGATATTTCCGAGCTCAGCGCTCTCATTCGCCATCTCGACCTCGCCGACCCGCTCGACGCTAGTACCTACATCGACACTGAAAATATCTGTCATGGAGCCAATGTGGAGACCACCCCGCTGACCAGTGATGTAGAGGGAATGCTGCTGATAAGAAGGAAGATGGAAAGATGAAGGGGTCTTTCTCCACCGCGAAGCTCTAGTCGCGTTCCAGCACCTTGCGGTCTACGTATTCGCGCATGACCAGATTGGGCAAGACATCGCTCATGGATTACGCGAGAGATACTGCATACCGGATTGAAGTAGCCAAAATCCCGGCATTCTTCACTACAGAGGAGGTGGTGGTGTAAAATAGTCATTTCACCCCTAGACTCACAAGATATTTTGCTAATATATCGTACCAGCCTTCCACAAACGACCACCCTTTGGCTATGCAATCAGCCGGCATCGGTCACCCCGCAACTCTTACTTGAAGTAATGATGTGAGTTGTACGAATGATTGACCTGGGTCATGGCTTCGAAAACTACACGTAAAAATTGCACGCCCTATTTTGATATCTCACTTCATTATCTACCAGCTAAATCACTTTTTACCATAAAGCCCGTCTTTAAAATATTTTGTACACTTTTCTAAGGAATACGAGCCAGTTTCCTAGCACCGATGGTGTCCTTATATCGTAAGAAGACTCTACACATATTCTGCGCGTCAACTACAGCAATAAATCCGATGGCCATGTATTGGTCAAGAGCCTCACAAAATGTTGTGCTCCGAATAGTGTTAATGACATTGACGTATAAAATTCTGACTTTTTAAAGTCTATTACGACATGTAGAGAGTCCAAAAATCTCTTGAAAGACGAGAAGGAACACAGTTCTTTAGCTTACTATTTTTTCACGATTTCAAATTTAAAAATAATTCACTGTACCAATAAGATGGTACATGCTTGCAAAGGCCAGCGTTTGAAGAGAAAACCTTCGGCAGGTTTCGTGCGACTAGAGCTGGAGCGGCAATTTATACTTCTGTGTGCCTCGTTGACATCTTTTAGCAGCTCGTTAGTCGAAAATAGGCAGCGGCGAGTCGATTGCAGTGCTTCAAGCGCCCGAACGCCGTCTACAGACAGCGTAATCCACAGCTGAAGATCGCATCATGAGCCAGCCCGTTATTGGCGGTCAGGCAACTGAGGAAGCCAAGCTAGAGCGTTTGTTTGGCCATATGGAGGATTTGCGTGTCTCGGAATCGGCACTCGAATCTGTTAGCGTATCGGAAGACGAAGATGATGATGAAGATTCTAGTGCTCTCGACGAGGACGAAGACAACGATGTGGAGGGCAGCGAAGAGGAAGAAACAAGCTGGATCACATGGTTTTGTTCCTTAAGAGAGAACAGTTTTCTGTGTGAAGTAGATGAAAACTACATTGAAGACGATTTTAATCTCACTGGACTCAGCAGCATCGTGCCGTATTATGACTACGCGTTAGACATTATCTTGGACATTGAGACGCCAAACGACAGTAGTCTCACGCAGATTCAGCAGGAGATGATCGAGTCTGCGGCCGAAATGCTATATGGACTTATTCATGCGCGTTACATATTAACCACTAAGGGCATGGCGGCCATGTTGGATAAGTATCAGGCTGTAGACTTTGGTCGTTGCCATCGCGTCTACTGCCAAGGACAACCAGTGCTTCCGGTTGGGCGATCAGATGTACCTCGACACACGACTGTTAATGTCTTCTGTCCCAAATGTCGTGATATCTTTTTTCCGAAGTCGCAACGAGCAGGCCGTATGTTGTTTATTTTCTCATTATCTCAAATTAAGGCTAAATGCTCACATTTCTTATGTAACTTGAATGCAGAAATTGATGGTGCATACTTCGGTGCAACATTCCCGCATGTGTTCCTTATGACGCATACCCAACTGGTGGTACAGCCGCCAACACAGGCGTATGTCCCACGCGTATTTGGCTACAAGATTCACAAATCGAGTGAATACTACACTGGCAAAAAGAAGAGCTCGTCTGGCCGCGAGCGAGAAAAGTATCGAAAAGTCATGACTCTGATAGACCGCTTGAAGGGTCGACCGAATGACGAACAACAGGCTAGGTAAAGAATTTATTTTCATTTAAAGACTTCGCGTGACTGAGGCAAGATGAAGATTGAAGACATTAATTGCCCAAAAGATTCGCATTGATGGCGTCAAGCGCTGCGAAAGACTTTTCGGTGGCTCTTCGATAAACGGACTTTCTTAACTGATATTCGATTAATATTCGACATAGTGGTCGGGGCTGATCGATCACGCTATGTACACGTGCAATGTTAATTGTTCTTTAGCATTATCTGTTAAGCGCGGCTTCATGATTTTTGCCTTAATATTTCGTGCACAATTCCATTCAAAAGCAAGCCAGTAAATAATTATATGTGCCTTAGCTTGGTTGAGTCATTGCAAGAATCGCATCAACCTTCCATGTCACTCGACACACTCTATCGCTATAAAGATGAAGAGAGAAAAAAAATTCGTGCTTCAGGCAAACTAGATAGTTCTTGATTACGTCCAGCGACAGATTCCGCATCTTCCTTCTCGTTAAATAAACAATTTCATCTCGAAAGATTTCCGAGTACATCTCATCCAAAAGTGTAGCGGGCAGGATGCATAACAACGAGAGTGATTGGGATGGAGTAGCTGCCAAAATGTGTTCTTTCATGATTGGTCTCTGGAATAGTTCGTTGATGCTCACGATTACCGTTAGAATTTGATCAGGACTCCCAGCTTCGTTAATCTCTAATAGAACGGTAGACTCATCGTCTGCTGGTTTGTCGCCATATCGTATTGCACTGATTTGGCCGATGAATCCAACATGCTGGTGTTCGTACACCTCCAATTTCGACGAACGGACCAACAGATCACTGTAAAGATTATGAAACAAAAACATTAGACGCGATCAAGTCATTTTTGTTTCTCAATTACCCTACTTGAATGAATTCGCACACAATCCAAAGGCATTTTTGAAGTGTTGAACGTTTGTCGGAAGCCTATTTAAAGGTCGGTATTTCGTTTCGATATGTGCAGTCAACTTGCTCTCCCCACTGACTTTGCGCGATTCAAGAACTGCATTCTTGTTCACGGTTTGTGCAAAGTAAACGTTCAGATTGCACTCTTCGAGTGATCGAAATGGGAACACCGCTTCATTTATCCGTAAAATTGAAAAATCACTCGTTCTCGCATATTGAATTTGTGCGTCTGTGTCACCACTCAGTAAAACAACCCATTGAAGCTTGGTAAGCAGCAACGTATTGCCAGCCTCGAGGGCTCGAAAAATGGCGGGTTGAGAACATGTACCAATCTTAATCACGAGTTCATGTAAAGAGCTACTATCAATCATTTTCAACCATCGATACTCGCACACTTCAAACGTATTTTTGTTTCGTGCACGGCAGATCCTCCCGACACTCGACAAAACCCCTATGAAGTCAAAGTACATGGCGTCGAGATGGTTACTCGCCTTTTTTTTTAAATATCGTGTATTTAGCGTTGTCACAAAGTTGCATTCGAGCCAGGTAGGATGTGACTGATGCGGATGGTATGAAGATGCTTTTCGGGTCGATAGATCACCGAGCATACGTGGGATCATCTTACTCAGCTCCAAAACCTTCCAATACTTTGCTGTGATGAATCACACGGAAAAAGTGGAGAGTTCAGTTTTGATTTTACAAACTGGTGAAGCGATACTAACCTGGAATATGGTATGCTTGGCCAGATGAGGTATCCGGGTACCATAAAACAGCACCTGTGGTCGTAAGCCATTGATGCTGTTGCGTGGTAGCGGCTGTGTACCCTCGAAATTGAATGAGATCACCTTCTTGAAGCGACAAATAGTATTTAGCGCACATAGAGCCAAAAAACATGACTTCAAACACGCCTGTTGCATCGACTGTAATTGACGTCAAAGTCCACATGCATTTACGTATCAGCTATAATCAACTGACACCAAAATATAAAGATTTACGCACCCACGACCGCGTTAAAAGCAAACGGAAATGGATTTGCAATATTTGGATCCCCTAAATTCCTGACTTTTGATTTGACTCGAATGGCACCTAGCATGGGGACGTTGAAGTTCTGCCTGACCCCCTGCTGTTTATTTTTCTTTATATGACTTAAAGCTTCCAAAATCGTGTAAAGTTTATTGCACCTCGGTGTGAACAGGTTTGAGCAATAGTTTCGGTCGCTGTTCCAAGACACAGATGAGGTTAAAAGCTGCTGGTTTCCACTCAACCTATACGCTCCACATCGTTTCGGCCAATTACATTCAAGCTCGTCCAGCGGTGAGTCTTCGTCTGGCTTTCCATCCGTAAAGCTACAAGCCCAGTCCAAAGTATAGTCATCGGAGCGCAATGACAAGTAGTAAAGTCGACCTCCTGTTAACGGAAGCAACGCCACTTCTCGTAAATGAATAGTCGACACAAAATCAAGATGATTGGTGGTCTGATCACAGCGACATGTGACCACTTTGTCCGGATTAGCTCCGTCGTCATTTAGGGAAGCAATAGCCAAATCTTGAAGTAGTATCACTCGATAAGTATGCTGCTTATCCTCTTTGAAGACTTTAAACTTATCTACCTAAACAATAAACAACACGAAATCAAAGTATCACATTCAATAAATGTTTTTCTAATGTCAAAGCAAGCAACGTACCCGCATGATGCAGCGAGGCGTCAACACCCGCTTATACACGAATTTGTTGTACTTTTGAGCCAGAATTGCCTTCATTTTGCAACAACCGTCGCTTAATAAGACATCAAATACGTCGTGTGCATCAACGAATAGTTGTCCGAGACGATCCTTGAGTTCTGGATCCGCCAAGTCTGTACAATAGTCCGAAGTTGGTTTGATATCAAAATCAAGCCTCTCTACAGATCTTACAGCGATAGATACCAAGTACTTGCAGTTTAATTGGATCATCAGTTACTGTACTGTGGTAAAGCTGCCGCACGCCGTGCATCGTTAACAAGTCCGGCGACATGCTTGCCATAAGTACGCTTTTTTATCAAATAGACTTTTTTCAGAGGTTAATGCCCAAAGCGCGTCGCGTGGCCTTCTCGGGCGCCGAGGTGATTGAATACGACGCCTCACTCGCTCCCGTTGTCAAACTTTATGGGGCAGGAGAATTTTCAGATACTAGAGCGCGGACGCTGGAGTGTCAGGCAAGAGGTGTCGATGTCTCTGACGAAAACTTAACAGTGATATATATCAAGGAGCTGCAACGTTTTCTGCGCTCTCGAGGGTTTGAACCAATGAGCGTCAATTTGTTAGAACTGCAAATTCAGCGCAGAGTTGTAGAGCTACTGCTTACGTGTGTGGCACTTGAGCTCAAAGAAAAGTCACTATTGACCGTCGATGTTTTAGATCCAAAAACGTTTCAACGCGTCCAACTGGCCACGAAGCAGCTCGAAGGCCGCGTGGACGATAGTTACGCGTTTGGTCGTCGGTTCGTCACTATCTCTACGTACGTCGATATGCTAAGCAGTGAAGAATTGTTAGCAGCGGCCCACGAGAGAGAAATCCAGCTGCCTACGCTTGGCAAGAAGCTGCAAGCAGGGATTAAAGCAAAGGCGAAAGAACTTTTAGGACGTTATGGTACAGCGAAAGGAAGACCGCTGAATTCATTAACGCTAAGACAATTAGTGATAGAAGTGGAGGAGAGAGGTTTGCTGGGACCAGAAGTGAAGAAGATTAATGGTAAGAAGAGCAAGCGCGCGTGGGTGGATCTGCTCCGACCGGTCATGGTTAGTGAAGTCAAAGCTAGCAAAATATATGAGCAGCAAGAAAAAATGCTACGCGAAAAACTAGTGTACGAGATGGAGCGAGAAAAGGAGGAGGAACAGAAACAGCGTGTGATCGAGTTAATTAGCAAGATGATTGAGCAGTCGTTTGATATGGTCGACAGTACAAAGCCTGAGATCGGTAACGCGAATTTAAAGCAAGAGAAAAGTATAAAGCAGGTGAAGACATGCAGATATTTAGAAGCTTTGGTCAAGACTATTTGTGTCCAGACACTTGAAAAGACTTGATGAACTAACTCTCAAGATTAGACTGTATTAAAATGAACGCCGTCAATGCTGATATTTATAATAGCCACGCCAAAAATATTCCATGTAGTATGTTTCTAAGGTGAGGACTAGTGGTTAATGTATCTGTATCGGTCTATCTAAAGCAAAGACTGAATCAGAGGTAATCACAACGTTGCGCTGTTGAGGTGCGGAGTCATGATAGACGACGTGATGTCGTCCAATTCTTCTGTCTACACGACAATGTCAAAGTCAAAAGGCAAAATGTTTACCCTCCATCGTCGCCAATCTGCGTTGAATTTGCCGTTACAGACTACCCGAGACTGTAACACAAGTGTCGGGATGCAACCAACTCTCTTAGAGCTAGACGAGCTCAAAGAGGTTAAGACGTCACAACGAGAATTATTGCCAACAGCTGAAAGGTTTGGCGTCAAATTCAACTCTACAAGTCAGAGCGCTCCCGACCGACAAATTTCGCGCGATGTAAATCCAGAGAAATGCGGTAGTCCGACAATCAGCAGTCGCGGTCAGCAAATGTTTGATTCTCTACGTAGTCGACATGGCTCTGTGAACCATCTACGTACACTGTCACGAGACTTTCTGCTGCATTCACTGCCCACTTCATCTATTCGACATGAAAATCTAACGAGTCTCAAGGACCAATTCCTCAAGATAAAGGAACGCTTTTCTTTGTCGGTCTTGCCCTTGCCAAACACAACTGTCGCGATCGAAACATCTTCCGGTCTGGATGATGTATCAGCGACTTGTTTTTCTGTACCATTGACTAGTGATCAGACATTGTGTGAGCCTCTATTTAAAGATTTAGACTCGAGCTGGGAACACTCACAAGCACACGTAAGACGCTGGTTTCGCGAGGATAACTGCTATAAGGCTTCTATCACATGCTGGACCATGGAAGTTGGGGCATCTATTGTATCAAAGGTCGCTCGGATCGTATCGGAATGGGCAGAAAACATGTCAAACAATCACATGCTTCCCGCTTTTGACAACTCTAACTTCATGAACCCTGATGTGTCATTACAATGGATTGGTCAACAATTATGGGCTGTAACAATATCACTACCTCTTTCACGCTCCAACGAGCTTCACGCTGAGCAAATAACACTTGCCTACTGGATAAATCAAATGGTTGCCGACGAATCCAAGCAAGCGAGTACTCAGACTTTCTCCTTGCCATCTAATTTGTCTTGTGAGCCACGGTCTATAAAAACTCAAGTCGACGTGAAGCCAACGCAAGCACCGCCGATGAAAGTTATTATTGAACCTGATGGAGAAAATGCAGAACCGGACGAGACAGACGCTAGCCCTTTTAGCACATTAGCAGCGGAAGATATTGATATTTTGCGTCTTCAACAAGCGCAAATGGCTGATAATGAGGAAATTGAAAACGAATATGCTAGAAGAGAAGACGAGGAATTGGGTGATCAGTGTCAAAACGATAACGAGGAAGAAGAAGAGAATAGTGATGAACAAGCATCGGCATTGCCCCTGTCGTGGTCGATGCTTTCATTATCATCGCAACGTTCTGGGTCATCGGAGCACGCATCAATACAAGCCGAATTTGCAATTGCTGACGATTGCAAGGATCCAATTTCTTACCTGGCTCCCGAAAAAATTGGCTGGCTCAAAAAGAAGAGACGGAAGCAGCATGGAATCGGTAGCTCGTGGCAGCCACGGTACTTTGAGCTAAAAGGGAATCGACTGTACTATTTCGCTAGTGAAGCTGAAGGTCTTCCGCGTGGTGCGGTATTAATGGATCACGCACTTGTACAGCGAGGTCGTGGGGAGCATTCAATGGTTTTTAGTATTTCAAGCGCTAGTTCTCACCAACGACTGCAAGTTCTGAAATTCTCTGCGAGACTTGCACACCAAGTGTTGCCGTAGGAAATGTTTTTTATGTTCATTCCCTTGTCAAGTCACTAACCTCACAATCAACTTGTTTGTAGGCGAAAATCAATCGAGTTACGCGTCATTGACGAAACAGACGTAACTGTCAGTACGTGGATTGCTGCACTTAATCGTGCATCATGTCACTATATAATGGCTTCATCAACACTACCAGCTCACTACTCTTCATCGTGTCGACCTTATTTGACCTTCGACAAGAAGCGCAAAACACCATTTTACCGATTTCGATCATCAACTATCACCAAAACACCATTAGCGGCGTCCTCACTTTCTTCAACTTTAAATAATGAAAGACTCGATGCTGAAAATATCGGCCAGGAGAAGTCTAGCACCACGTCGACACGCTGGATCGCATCGTATCAGCAACTCGGTAGCGTACGATATCTGCGAGAAACAGATCCATTATTGTGGGAAATTCATCCACCCGATCAAATCGCGATTCGCAAAAAAGCTGCTCAAGCTCGAACACGAAGTGAATACCTTGCGATTTTTTCTCGTCATGCTGATACCTTTTCCCAGATATTTTTGCCGAGACCCCAACCAATTTCTCTCGAGCAAACGCTGCGTGACATTTTGCCAGAATTATTTCTAATTAATGGTACACTATACGGAGGTGGGGAGCAGCTAAAGCAACAGACCGCAGAGTCCAGCAAACACGATATCACAGGACAACCAAACTGCGGACTGGAGCATATATTTGAAGTGCTCGACACTTATATCCAGCGGTTCGCAGCTGCCCCTGAAGACCGAGTTCGAGCTGTGAGTGCTTTGTTACAGGCTTGTGCACGTACCATTAGCGGGGGTGACTCGTACTTTGTCGTTCATCGACTGCTTGGCAACTCAAGTTTGATTATACGACCAGCCGAAGCCAGAGGAAGACCTATTAAAATCGACGTCTCACCCGACCGCCCAAGTCGCTTCCTAATCACAGTGTTTAGTGCTTTTTCCTTTCACTTACTTGATGACGTTGAACGTTTTGGCGATTCAAACGATGCACATGGATCCGGGACGACACCCGCTCCGTTGCTGCGGGTTTGTACTCGACATATCCAGGAATTTGACTTTGCCGCGGGAACATCAGCACGATGGCTGAAAATCGATGTAGAAAGTCAGGAAGAAGATGTCACTATAGGACGGACTGGAGGCGGAAGTGGGACATATGGACGATGGAGCAGCCGTCGACAGTCCCAAGATGTCGGTGAATCTCGGATCGGGGCATTGTTGGATGCATTGTCATGAAAAGCTAGCGTTTACCATGCGGCTTGAGAGGTGATTTAGTGTAAAAATAAAGTCTGGATCCGGTTCTGTCAACACTTTCGTCGTTTTTTTGTATCATTCCATCCGAACAGTGCTCAGAAAATATATATACCCATGAAGCCTTCGACGCAAATTTCACGAGGGCTCAAATGGGTTGCTAATCGATAAAGTTTTATTACGAGATATGTACAACGCATAAATTGCTATGTACTCTTGAGATAGCAGAGCTACCAGACACCGAGTAACGGTCACTACTGGTTGGAACGCACTAAACCTACCTCGTGCGTTTATCAATGCAATGTTAGCGTCAAAGCTTCTCTCTGCAAAGTGCAAGGCAACCTCACAGCACTTGTAGCACTCATAGTCAAAGACAATTGATTCGTGAAAAACTCTTTCATCTGCGGGGTGATACATAAAATGTTCGTGTATCTGTTCCTCGGGACAATTTGAACAGCTTTAGAAGCTTACGTCAATTGTTGGTCCCTAAAAGATTAAGGAACTGGCGGCAGATATCCCGGAATCGACGATAGCTTGCCTGAAAGGGCTCAACAGCCTGGAGAACACGCTGGTGATTTCCAAGCTTGACGACAGCGCACGAAAATATGCAATAAAGTCGTACACCTCGATTTAAGATGCACCACAACACGAGTAAATTTTGAAGTGATTTTGCGGACTTTTGCACTGCCTAATCAGATATACTGCAGCGGGGCTACCGTAGCTTTGCGCTTGAGAAAGCGTCTTTAGATCACCGACCTTTAGTTCTTTACATGAACCAAGCACTAGCGCAGCGGATCGCAATCCGCTGCCTCTAAAAGTACTTAAAAGCCTTAACCAAGGCAAGCGAACAATTCTGTTCAAAATCGAAACTGATTTTTGTTTACATTTTTATCCTAATGTTAAAAGTTGAGACTTTCCTAAATATACTAAATATATATAGTAAAATCTAAATACATGCATAACTACTGGCTACCTAGCCCCGTACCGTATTCTTGTTTGGGTGTGTAGTCACGTCATGCATATCTCGTGTGACACAAACACCCCTGTTATTAGGGTTGTGTAACCCCGTTACATCCTCCCCCATTAAGATTGAGAACATTTACAGCTCTATCAATTATTGCCTCAACGAGGCTCGCGTGTCCGTTAGACACTGCAACTCAATTTGTTGGAGTTTAACAACTTCCTTGCTCAATGAGCCTTGTGTCCACGACACGAAAACCATCAAGTCTGCTCTTTCTGACAGCGAGCAGGGGCAGAGCCCAGCTTCGTCCCTTGCACGCGGTGCCATGCCGGACGGTGCGTCCGCGGCACCGGGGGATGTATATCCTAGGCTCGATGAGCACAAACGTCGCGCTCCGCGCGCGCTTTCAGTGCCGAGTGGCCTCGTTGAGAATGTAGTCGACTATGAGTCTGACACCTCTTTTCGCGCATGGGATGACGAGGATGGCGAGCTGCATCAGCAGCGTGATACGAGTCCTGCTCGCGCCTTGTGGACCCCATGTCCGTTCCCTGACTTCTCTTCAACTGAGGAACGTGGTGTAATCACGACTGACCTCGACGGGGCTCAGAGGCGGCAGCTTGAAGCTGACCATAAGGCGGATCTTAAGCGCGCCCATCCACGGTCGGTCATTGACCCTCGAGTGGAATATGGCTTCCGCCCTGCGGAACCCGCTTAGGAAGCGAAGGACGCGGTAACTCGATCGTTACGCGTCCACATCATCGGGCCCAGGCCAGAACGGATGATGAACTTGCTACACGGAAAGCTCTTCGAGCTCGTTTCTTGACCCCACAAGAAATCCCGTTAAACGATTATCGCACTCGTCTGAGTGCTCAACGAGGTGTTTCTCATGTACCCGCAATGCGGACAATACCTGTAGTGCTTGCCCCTGGCGAAAACGCTACCGATGACGAAGCGCTCTCTGAGCGATGGGTGCAACGGCACCGCAAACTTTCCTCACTGTATGCTTTACTGTTGAGCCACAAGGAAGTGGACGTGCGTGTGGAGCGACACCTTTAATTTGAGTTTGCCAAACTCAGAACACGCCATCGACTCCCTTCAGATTGTCGCTTTGCGACGTATGGTTCAACCCCTAACGCTCCCGCGAGCTCTGTATGTGCGACCGAAAGAGCTCAGAGCCACCGCTTGAGCTCAGCTCATGGTCCGTCTACTTCCCTGACTATTGCCGGGAAGCGCGGGGCATCTGATGATGCTGGCGTCCTGATCTTTCTGATCAAAAGCGTCCACGGCGACTGGGTAATCTTGCCGAAGTGGTGCCTCAAACTCCCACGAGTATTCTGAGTCGGAATATCCCCGCCACTTCACCAGATCTTGGGTTTGACCCTGATGACGACGTCGTCCGACAAGACGTTTCACGTGATAGTGGACGTCGCCATTCTCATAGAGAAGAGTCGGTGGCGGGCGGTGATTCGAGATGCTCTTCAAGCCCTTGAGGACGAGGTCTGTCTTGATCGGCGCTCCGCTGAGCGTCATGTTGAAGTAGCATGTCGATGTGCGGACGCTCTTGACGAGTTAAAGCAAGTCGTGCGCCGGCTGCCTCACCTTGAAGACTACCGCTCTCTGTCGGAGCGACTCCTAGCCGTGGAGCGGGCGAATGCATCGATGCAGGCAGCGGTGAAGCAATTAGAATTTGTTGCACTCCGTGCTCAAACCCAGTTGCTGGTTCAACTTCTGGGTGGCCACGGGCCCGTGGGATTCGCTCCGGCGCCAACGCGGAAGCGTTCACTTGCGCCGGATCCCGGAACGGCTTGAGCAAGCCCACCTAAAATACCGGGTGGGTCTACATCCGTTTCGATAAGCTCAACGCGTACGCCAGGCCCCGTTTGGCCACAACCTTAAACGGTCTGATAAACTGTGGACGAAGC